GCTTCAGTCGTGTCCGACTCTGTGCGACCCCATAGACGGCAGCCCACCAGGCTCCCCTGTCCCTGGGATTCTCCAGGCAAGAACGCTAGAGTGAGTTGCTATTTCCTTCTCCAATGCAGGAAAGCGAAAAGTGAAAGTGAAGTCGCTCAGTCATGTCCGACTTGTAGCGACGCCATGGACTGCAGCCTACCAGGCTCCTCGGTCCACTGGATTTGCCAGGCAAGAGGACTGGAGTGGGGTGCCATTGCCTTCTTCCTCTTACCTTATACTGGCCCTTTAATTCTCTGCAGCCTGACCCCAGGTCCCCCCAAAGTTTTCTAATGAAAGAATCACTGCCAGTTGCGGTGACTGGCAATGGTTCTGCTGATTTATTTATCTTTCTTTTCCTTTTGGTTCTACTAAAAAAAAATATTGCAAGGAGTCCCATCACTGTGGGAATAGATTCAAGACCCTTTGAAAATCTACCTAAGAAAATCTCTGCACAAATTGTTAACAGTGGTCATGCCTGGGAGGATGTTCATTTTTACCACTTTTGTGGTACTATAATTTTTATGACTGCTTATTAGTTTGTGTTAAATAACACAATCAAATATTTTAAAATCTATATAAGCTCTATCGACTATACATGGGAAAAAATCAGTATTTCTGCCTTTTGACATTTCTTATAAAAGTTATCATTGACATCTTGTACTATTACTATCCTTTTTACAACTTTTTGTAACAGAACACTTTTAAAGGCAGCACAGGGTGACAGGAACAGTTTACCATCTGAAGTCAACTGACACCAATTTGCATCCTAGCTCCCTCAATAATCTGCTGTGCAACCTTAGGTAAATAAGTCAACCTCTCTGAACCTTGGTTTCCTATAATAGAAGTTGACTAAATAATGCCTACAGGTTCTCCTTCATCATTCATGAATAGCTTAAATCATTGCGTCTACTGTGTAGCATATTTGCTAGTAGTCCCTTGGTGTGCATTCTCTTTGTCTTTTATTAAAACTCTCAGCTATAAAAGCTCTTCACCTGTCTTCCCTGTAGTCAATAGAATACGAGCAGAAGTAATGTTTGCAACTTCTGGGTTGCACATTTAGAAGCAAAAAACAAGTCTTTCCTTTGATCCTTTCCCCCTTTCTGCTTGCTGAAAGCTGACTAAGGAGATGTGTTGGTAATCCATCTTCCACCACAAGGAGAGAACAACAGGCAGATGGAGATAGAAGAAACTTAGACTTTTCACACTACGAAGCTGCTTTATTATCGTTTATTGTTAAACTATTCTATGAGAGAAAAATACATTTCTATCTCGTTTAATCTACTTTTGATAAGTTGGGCTTCTGTTTTAGTAATTAAAGTTGGAATTTGCCATTACAAGGGAAAACCAGCTTTATTCTGTTTTCCCCAACTATGTTTCTGTTGGCTTTTCTTTAATTCCCTAGTTGAAAGGTTTCTCCTCTTTTAAGTGGCACTGATAGTCTGTGGGTTTTAACAAACATGTTGTCCCATGGTAGGAAATTGCCATTATAAACTCTAGGCCTATCCTGATTATGACTGATAGTCAGCTTGCTCATACGGTTGCTTCGTGGCCAGGTAATTATTTGTGTACACGTTTTATCAAACATACAGAATTGATAGTTCTTTGAGTGAAGGACCTGTGTCTAGTTTATTTTTTATCCATTATAGCATCCTGCTCAGAGCCTGGCACGCTGCAAATGTGCAATGAATTCCTGGTGAGGAAGAGATGGTGCCTCTAAGTTAAGTAAGTTAAGTAAGAACCCTGACCTCTGGCTTTTCTAGGTCTTCTGAGTGGGTCGATGCCACCTATCAAGTCATCTAGGGTGGTGAATGCAGCATGTGGTTCAGAGATGGGCATACAACAAAGCCAGGTCAATCAGAAGCAATTATTCCAGGATTTTCGTTAAAGTGCATTGAAGAAAAGTGCTCATTCTGCTGTGGTTGTATCTTGGAGCTGTCAGCATTTTACTCCCAGGAGTGGAAAGCGTTCCTGAGAACAGCCCACTCAGGGGAAGGAATGGCAGAGGCACAGGGCAAAGCCAAATCCTGATGACGTTGTCTCAGCCTCTGTATGAAGCCCTACCCATGGATTTTCCAGTTATGTGAGCCAATACATTACTCTTTTTTTGTTTACTACAGTTTCAGTTCACCCTGACTAATAAATAACACATGGGCTCTAGTACTAGATCATTAGTCTTGGGGAAAGATTTTACCACTTTGGGCCCCTTCTGAATATTGAGAGAGTTGGAGTTGATAATTTCTAAGGCCCTTTCAAGCTCTCATTTCCATGATTCTTTCTTCATGTGTATAGGCATCAGTTAGGGTAATGCTACTTGCTTCGGCAGATAGACACCAGTATCTCAATGACATAATACAAAAGATATTTATTTCTTACTCATATAAAATCCAAAACAGATATCTGAGTGGCAGGTGGCTCTCCTTCAAGGGAAGATTTGGGACTTCTTTATCTTGTGATTCTGCTATCTTCAAACTATGGCATCCCAGGTCAAAATTCTTGTTATCACTAAGCCAGGGGAACAGAGAAGAGAACAAAGATTGTATGCCATGGAGGGATGGAAAGTTATTTAGCTGGTCTAAAATTAGCACATATCACTGTTGTTCACATTTTATTAACTAAAACATGATCACATTTAATTGCAAACAAAACTGAAAAATGTTTCAGGGAGAAGAAAAAATGGATTTGATAAATATCAACTCAGCATCTGCCACAAAAAGCCCTTGACCCATGCTTAGTACCTAGGTTCTGTATCCTTGTCTCTCAGGTTGGTTAACTATACACGCTCCTTCTTAGATCCTAGTAACTAGTTCTGTTGGCCTTGGAAAGAAGTATCATTAACAGAATTCACTGGGTCTAGACATTAGTAAGTTGAATAGGTTAAAGTGTATGTAGCTTGTGGAAAATACTAACAGGAGCACTTTAGGTTTGATTCCACTTCTAGACTTGGTTTCTGCACAGTGGTTAGAGAGAAGGAAGCTGGACTTTTTTGTTTGCATTTGAAGCGGGAGAAGGGAAATAATAGTACCAATCATACATTCATCCAATAAAACTTTACTTCCTGTCTCCACTCTGCCAGGCAGCAGCACATAGAAAGACTATGGATAGGGACTTTGCGGTGGTCCACTGGCTAAGACTCGGCACTCCTAATGCAGGGGCCCAGGTTTGATCCCTGGTCAGGGAACTAGACTCCACATGCTGCAATGAAGATTGAAGATGCTGTGTGCTGGAGCAACCAAATAAATTGTTTTTAAAAAATAAATAAATAGAAAATGAATAGTGTTTGCATTTGGTACAACATGGAAGGACTGAATGCTCAAGGGTCTCTTGTCTTCAAAATACCATAACACTTGCTCATGTGTGGCCTCCCTTGCTGGCTTCATGCTTTTAATCCAGGCTGTGGGGTGTCTATGGAAGGGACTTTCTGTCTCAGTACTGTGTACTTCCTTAAAAATGAGAAATTTGTCTAATTTGGTTCCTTTCAACTTGTTTAAGAATTATCTTTCATTATGGTGAAACAAGCTAGGCCCCACATTTAAAAGAAAAATTCTCTACCAGATGTGCAAAATTTAAGAAGTCATGTACAAAAGTCTCTGACCTTGACCCCTCATCCCTTCATTCCTCACTTTTCTGTCTCTATTGTATGCATTATCATATTTATACTTCTATTTGAGTCTCTGTGGCTTAAGGCAGCATTTGATTTTTTCCAGGTCATAACCTTAGCTCCCTTTCCTGCATAATGCTTTCTTTCAATATGAAACCCTCTCTAGGCAATGTGATTCTGAGTTCATACTGTCTACACATCATTCTTCTCTAGACACAAACTAAACTCTCATCTTAGAGGGCAGCTGCTGCTCCCATTGCTGTATCATTGGGTTAAGTTCCACATATTTTCTACTTCACTCTATCAGCTTTTATCACTTGTCCAGAATGATGGTATTTGTATTTTTGTCTGCCTGTCACATTCACTCTCCCCACTTCTGGTAACAGAATCCTACATAGGAGTAATCAAATGAACAAATAAGCTTTATGGTCATAATGGGCCACATCCCACAGTTTACTTATTTTACCTCTGTGAAGCCTCAGAGAAAAAGAGATAGAAACCATGTTATTTCCTTTCTGGGTATCCCAATCAAAGAAGTTATATGTTTCCTTCATTGAAAGCAAAACACGTAAGTGGAAATATACAATATCAGATTTGTTTTATTGGAGAAATGTTCACAATGTTCTATGTGCATGCTATGACTTCAGAGTAAATGATCCTCAACCAGTTTTTCTTTTTCCTACAAAAAGACCACATAAAGTTCACAATATTTTTATTGAGGTAAACCATCTTTGTTCCCTGGGTACTGTTGACTGAACAAGGCAAACATGAGTGTGCTCGATGTGAAGGAAGCCAAGTGCTTTGAGAGGACTTGGCAATATCTCTGCCCAGCAATGGCACGTCTCCAGAGAAGAGGAGACAGTGGAACTCAGTCTATATCCTGAATGATGTTGAACAATCCATTCTTGAAAGAACAGGACTAGAGTCAACAGTGACTGCACACTTTCCCAGTTACACCTTCATGTTATTTTTATTGGAACAAACTCTTATTACCAAAGATAATCTACAATTAATTATTCATTACAATCTTAATGAACCTTACTAATACAGTTAAAGTTCCCTACTTCTGCCAAATAAATTATATAATATATATATGTATATATTAAATAGTTTATGGTGGTTTAGAAGCTAAGTCATGTCCAACTTTTGTGACCCCATGGACTGTAGCCTTCCAGGTGCCTTCCATGAATTCTTCAGGTGAGAATACTGGAGTGGGTTGCCATTTCCTTTGCCAGCAGATCTTCCCAACCCAGGAATCGAACCTGAGTCTCCAGCATTTCAGGAAGATTCCTTACCAACTGAGCTACAAGGGAAGCTCTATATAGTTCATATACATACATACATATATATATACATATATACATGTATATATACACATATACATATATTATATAGTTACATATGTAAAGAAAGAAGATATGATAGGTACTACCTAGATTAAGTTATACATCACTTGGGTTACCTAAGATAGTCCTGGTGTATACTATCTGGCATAATTGTTAACAATGCCCATTTCAATTTCAGAAGTGTTCCAGTATGGTTACTCTAACTATATTAGATCCAAAAGGCATCTTATCTGAGACAGAGGATAACTAGATGTTAAAATGAGGTAGGAATATCAGAAAAGGTGATGCAATTTTCTTGACTGGAAGTGTCTCAAATTTATTATGCAGCAGAAGATTCTGAAAAAAAAAAAAAAAAGTGCATCATACCAAAGGTCTAGACAATGAATTTTGTTTCTGATGCTGCCAGAAATGTATTTCAAAATATGTCCTGGGTAAACTGATGGTCATAGGGATAAAAATCATGAGATCATGTTAAATATGTCTAGAAGTTCCTAATATATGCTTGAATTTTCTTAATATTTAGCCTAATGTCTTTAAAGACATCTTTAGCTATGTTTTTGGTTTTTGTTTACGTCTGTTTTCTCAAACCATAGGCAAATGTTAAGAGTCTACTGAGTGTCTCTAAAACAGTCTCTGAAAAAATAAAAATAAAATAAAATAGTCTCTAAGTCATTCCTGGTTACCTGTCATACTGTCAGCACCCCCCAAGAACAAGTCACAGAGGAAATCCAAGCAAAGCATACCAGGGGCTGAAAACTGAAAATGGAACACTGTCAGTGTCCACAGACTTCTGAGCCAATGGGTTTTGCTAAAGCTGTCTTCCTAGGTTTCAGAATCATATCTAGCCCATACAGCCTGTTTTGTGTGTGTGTGTTTCATCTCTCTTGCTTAATTATAAGTTCCTGCCTCCTTAGTTTTTGTGTGTAGACTGAAAACCGTCCTCCAATAGTCATTATTTTTTTTCCTAGGATAATAGTACTTACCTCCTGTATTCCACATTTTTATTGGCAACATGGCTACTTGCTAGAGACTAAGCAAATCTGCCAGCCCCTGGAGCCCACTCATGGTTGTCCTACTTAGCAGAAGGTACTCATATAATTTCTACATTGTTTACTTTAAGGAAACTTTTTGCTCTGGACTTGTTTTCTTTTACCTTCTTGAAAACTGGAAACAAAATATGCCAGCCACCTAGCTTTGACAATGCAGGTAATGACAGTGCCACCCTAGTGCCTAGTGTGATCTTTGAATTAGCAGAATCAACATCACTTGGATGCTTTTTTAGAAATACATAATCTTGGGCCCCATCCTAGTCCCACTGAACCAGAATCTGCATCTTAGCAAGAACCTCAGGTAGTTTGAATGAACATTAAGATTTGAGAAGTACTGCCTCAGTAGTGGAGAAGGCAATGGCACCCCACTCCAGTACTCTTGCCTGGAAAATCCCATGGATGGAGGAGCCTGGTAGGCTGAGGTCCATGGGGTCGCTAAGAATCGGACACGACTGAGCGATTTCACTTTCACTTTTCACTTTCATGCATTGGAGAAAGAAATGGCAACCCACTCCAGTGTTCTTGCCTGGAGAATCCCAGGGACGGGGAAGCCTGGTGGGCTGCCGTCTATGGGGTTGCACAAAGTCGGACACAACTGAAGTGACTTAGCAGCGGCAGCAGCCTCAGTAGTGGATAATGGATCAGCAGGATGGAAAAAAAAATCTAGATCTCAATTATTTTGTAAAGCAAATCTGTCTACTGGCCTGGTCTGCCTGACTGTAGACTACTATAAGAGAGCACAATATCTTCTTTAAGCCATTGACAACCCACTCCGGTATTCTTGCCTGGAAAATCCCATGGTCAGAGGAACCTGACCAACTACAGTCCATGGGGTTGCAAAGAGTCAGATATGACTGAGCATGCATACACAGAAGCCATTGAATTTTGGGGTGTCTTTTTGACCTCTAGTCTAACTTATATTCATTATTGCTTGTAACAGCAAACCTACTTTTTAAACCTCTACCAGAAATTTGTGGAGAAAGAGATGAGAAAGGATAGCTCCTTTCTGAATATTTGAGAGTACTCCCTCCACCCTTCAGGACAGTACCTAAATTTAACTCAATCTATGTTGATTTATCTGGGACTGGGAGAGTGGGGAGTGCTCTCACCCCATCCTCCTGAGTATCAGTGCACTTTCCAATGATCATTTTTGGTCTCCTTGAGAATGCTGAGTTAAGAAGCTCCATATAAATATTAAATGAACTGAATACACGATGTCTCCGGAGATGGTTTCATCATTTTCTTTTCCAGAAGACCCAAATTCTAACTAACAGCATTAATCAAATAGACCACATTTATTTTAAAGTCCATCAGGGCATGCATGTTTTCATTTTAATATATAGACTCTTACCCACTATTTAATTTAACATCAACCATTTCTTCTTTCTTCCTTCTATCTCTGGTTTGGTAAATGTATGTTCCTAACTTTCAATTCCTGTACATCAATCCAACAAATATTTATTCAATACCTTCAAAATGCTAGACATTATATTAAATGCTAGAAAAATAGTTGTGAATAAGATAAAACAGATCTGGCCATGTACAGCTCATAGTCTAATTGGGCAGAAGACCAATGAACAAGTAATTACACAGCTGAAGAGTGTTAAGAAATGGAAAGTACTTAAAATACCTGCAATAATGTTCATTGACTGAATAAATGAAGAAATAAATTAACCATTAACACCTTCTCTCCAAAGCCTCCATGGAGATAAGAGGCACAGTTCCCTTATTTTCAGCTTCTCTCACTGCTTTGGGTTCCTATTGGTCTTTATGCCTGTGAAAGAGAAGTTGGATAATTAACTAGACTAAAAATAAGGGTTTATACTTAATGTCCATGGAAGATGACTGGAAAGGAACTTGGCAAAGTGAAAATAGTTGCATTTGGTGGTAAGATTATGGCTTATTTTGTTCTTTTCCTTGTTATTAAAATATTGATTGTACAGTACATTAAAACTGAAAGTAAAAAGGACATGTTTGTATGTATGTTAATCTTTTTTTTTATTTCATAAAGGAAGTGATGTTGCATTTCCTTCACAATCCCAATATCTTATTAGGGTCCATTGGGATTGACTAATGTCATTTTCCTTCCTTTTTTTGCCTTATGTGAACAAGCCACCGTGACACTAGTTTCCGGTATTTTGGTTTACAAAGGTTTAGATTTCCTTTTCTATATTACCAAACAACTCAGTTTTAAATATTACCTTTGCTTCATATTCATACCTGATAGTCTTCTCTGAGGGTACCAATCAAAGGTCAAGACCTTTTTCACAACATCACTGATCTTCCTTGAAAATCCATGGAGAGTGGACAGATCAGATAGTGGAGTGGTAACTGAAGAAATAAAGAGGAAGTTGCTTAGGACAGAAGATAAAAACATGAGACAAAGGAAACAAACTACTATCGGATAGGGTGCTTCTGAGGCTGGGATTCTGCCCAGGGAAGACCACGCCGTGGCTCCACTGCTGCATAAGGAGCTATACCAAAAGTGAGTGGCTAGCAACAACAGCCACATTTTTGCCTACAATTCTCCAAATTAGGCAGGATTTGGGCAGGGCCCTCCTCTCTGTCCCATGTAGTCTTGGCTGGGATGGCTCACCTGGGCTGGAGGATCTCAGATGGTTTCACTTACCTGTCTGGAGCTCTGTATATTCTTGCCTCCTTTGTCAAAAATAAGGTACCCATAGGTGCATGGGTTTATCTCTGGCCTCTCTACCTTATTCCATTCATATATATTTCTGTTTTTGTGAGCTTACTTGAATTAAATTCAGTAAATACCTATGAAGTGATCACTTTGCACCAGGTACTGATGTGGGTGCATGGAGTCCTTCAGTGAACAAAACATATTCCTGCCTGTAAGGAACTCACTTTCTAAAAATAGCGTCATGTGAATAGGGAAAAAAAAATCATTTTATTGTGAGGAAAAAAGATTTACAAAATGAGACTGTTCAGGAGATTGAACAGGAGCTTATAATGATGATTTTATGGTAGCAACTTTTTTCTTTTTGAAGTTTTTGTCTAAAAGAGTTGAACTCTGGCATTCTCTCCTTGAGGGAGGAATCTGTGTGAGCATTACCTCTGGCAATATCTCTCTCAGCCTTGAACTCCTCTGGGCTTTCAAATTTTAGGAATAATTTTACATAGATACACAATTCATAACCTAGAGATTTCTTCATTTCTCCTACTGCTGTCCTTTTAGGTAGTCTGAGAAAATAGACTCCAGTTGAACACAGATATAGACTGAAGTTCAATAAACATCCATTTGAGGCCATGGATCTGCCACTCAGGGGATATCTCCTATCACCTCACAATTTTATTTATCACCATTTTTCACTCATTATAAAATTAGAAGGGCAAATCCAATAAAATTTCCACATAACAGGACAAACAAAAATTGTTGCCATCCCAGAAGTACCTCCTCTTCAAAGTTGAAATTCTTTCTCATTGTTTGACAAATAGAAGTGCAAAATAAGCTCAGAACTGTCCCTTTAGGAGTGTCAATGTACAATGCATATAATTTCACACACTGAAAAGATATAAATATGAAAACTTGAGAACAACCTTTATGAGAACAGCTCAATATCCCGGAATTCTTAAAAATCAGCAAAGAAGTCCAGACAGATACTATAAGATTACATCTACAATGCAGAGGAGCACAAAACGAAAGCCAAATAAGAGCTGTGAGGACTAAACTGACGGATGGGGCAGGAAACAGGATGTTTTGATGCAGATGATGTACTAGGTGTTTGAAAACATTGTCTCATTTAATCTTCCCTACAACACAGTTTTACAGATTAGAATGTTGATTGAAACACATAAGTAGTTAAGAAACTTGCATACTGACACATGATTAGAAAGAAATAAATCTAGTTTATCTAACTTTAAAGCTCAAACAATTAATATTAAAACTGATTAACAATTCAAAATGCAAAGAATCCAATTGAATATTTTCCAGGTCCTTCTAGCTTTTGCATAAGGCTTTGATGAAACAACAAAGGAACTTACTTGGAATTAAAAATACCTGAGTTTGAACCTGGATTCTGCCATTTCCTACTGGCAGCACTGGGAACAAGTCAGTTTCATTTCTTAAAAGTTGAAAGATAATACATACCACTTATGGACCCTGTAGGCTTAAATATGGAGAAGGCAACGGCAACCCACTCCAGTATTCTTGCCTGGAGAATCCCATGGAGAGCAGAGCCTGGCGAGCTACAGTCCATGGGGTTGCAAAGATGTCGGACACGCCTGAGCGACTAACACACACACACACAAACACACAGGCTTAAAAAAGGTATCCCAAAGAACGGGCAAAGAGAAGGCTCCAGTGAATGAATATAAGGTGAACATGGCATGATTGTTATTTCCACTCTATCTGAGGCTGGAAACAACAGAAACAATAGTTACCCGTCTAGTTCTTACATGCTCACAGGCTCAAGAAGGAGCTTGAAATAGTTTTCTAAATGAGGTTTGGGAATTCTTTGTGGATTTCAATTACCCATCCTCTTGCTGGACCTCATTAGCACACATAATTGAAAACTGACTCTGTATATAATGACAACTGGAACCTCTAGCTCATACGCAGTTACTTTGGTGTTACTCATCCCCCACTCTGTCAAAACCCACCAGCAGCCACCCCTCAAACATACTACCTCAGAAGCTGGGGAGAAAGAACCAAAATTCTTCCAGTACTACATTTCCTGTGATGTTAGCATACATGGAGGCTTCTGTTTCATAGCATATTTTTGTAATATGTGGATAAATGGCAGTACAAAAAGTCTTAGAGACCCTCCTTAGTGCAAGCATTTTTTACAGAGGACAGCATTATCGGCAAGGAGGTGAAAACTGGTTCATAGTAAGTGAGAAAAACCAGATACTACAATGGTTTGTGGCCCTTCTCTGTACATAAATAGATATATTACATATCTACAGTATTAAATGTTCATGGGGAGGGGACAATTAGGGGAAAAAAAGATTGAGAAATGCAGCCTTAGAGAAAAACATAAAGTTCTCTAGCTCAGGTTTTTATTCTAGGAGGAAGACAGGAGACTGGACTGTTCTTGGTGCTCCATTCTATGATAGCAATGTCAGGGGTTCCAGTTCATCATGACAGTGGTTAAAGAGAAGGGTTCTGAAGCAGCCTGCTTGGTTTGAAGCAGAGTTCAACCATTCATAGCTGTGTGATCTTAGCTAATTAGCTAACCTCTCTTTTTTTTTTTTTATTTGAAGAATGAGTATTGTAATACATGATATTTAGGATTGTATGAGGGAAACAAGACCCAGTCTATATTTATAAAGTCAGCAGAAGCCACTCCCACCTTTGTGCCCTTTAGTCCATACCCTCTAGGTGGCAAAATCCAGGCAACATATAATAGTCTTTTTTAACTTTGAGGATTTTGAAAAATATAGAATATAAAGAAATAGAATATAGAAAAGAACAGATGTAATATGTATTTCCACAGCATGAAAATTTACATTAGCATTTTGTCATATTTTCTCTAGTCTTTTTTAATTAATAAAAATTTTCAATTACACAAGTAATATATATATACATACTCCATTCTGTCCTCTGTATACCTCCAGACCTATCATTGTGAAGCAAAATTTTTACAAATGCCTACTGCCTGTAAGGTATAATTAAGTGGATTGCCATTACCTTCTCCAGGAGATCTTGACCCAGGGATTGAACTTGGGTCTCCTGCATTTCAGGCAGATTTTTTTACTGTCTGAGCCATCTGGAAAGGCACAATTTCCTTAGAGATATTCTTATTTATGTATTTATTTAGTTTTGGCTGTGCTGAGTCTTCACCGCTATGCAGGCCTTTCTCTGGTTGTGGCGAGCAGGGGCTACTCTCTAGCTGTGGTCCTCAGGCTTCTCATTGCAGCGGATTTTCTTGTTGTGGAGCATAGGCTCTAGGTGCACGGGCTTCAGTAGTTGTGGCATGCAGGTTCAGTAGTTGTGGCACATGGGTTTAGTTGCTCTGAAGCATGTGGAATCTTCCCAGACCAGGGATCAAACCCGTGGTCGCTGCATTGGTGGGCAGATTCTTGTTCACTGTGCCACCAAGGAAGTCTGAGATATTCTTTCTGAATGGGTAGCTTGAGAGACTAGCCATCCTGCAAAGCATCATTTTCTCCCCTGACAAGGTAAATGTCTTCATTCAGGTTAAAAACCCAAGTGGCATTTTCTCTATGAATGGTAACAATATTTCTTGGGCACCTACTGTGTGGGAGATGTTTTTAAACTGAGAATAGAACTGTAGCATCAGGGCCCAGAAGTCAACTTTTCGAATTGAAAAGTTGGTGGTTGGAATGAGTGGATTAAACTGGTCTCCATCCTTGAGGTGGCATTCCAGATGTTTCTCACAGATGGTAATGAATAACCTTCTTCCCCTGTTAATAACAGACCCAGTGGCAGAATTTGCAGATGACTCAGTCCTTTTGTCTTTAGCGTGTAAATCTCAGCAAAGGGAGATGTGAGCTGCTGGGTTAGGATCAGACCTGGGAACCAAACTGGTTTGCACTGTGGACCATTGTCCCGGCAGTGGTGAATTCTGCCCTCACAAATGCCTAGGAGGCAAAGGAGTGAAGTCTTGGGTCTTGAATGAGGCAGCCCTAGGAAGCTGGCATCACTTGGGTTCCTTGCGCACTAGGCTGTGACCCAAGAGACTTGAATCTTAAGAAGATAGCAAAGCGGTGACTGTCCTCAGCTGTGGTTATCTACTTTAAAAATGAAAATAAATATTTTCATGTTTGGATATAGTCCACTAAATTGCAATTATTAATATTAGTAATGATAATAACAATATCACCTATCATATAGCAAGTGCTACTCAAAGGTCAGGCCCAGCATCGGGCCACTCTCACAAGGGCACTGGAGGAGGAGAACCTGGAGGAGATGTCTCCACGTTACAAGTCAGACCTCATTACATTCACTCACTCGCTCCCTCACCAACTGGAGAACATTTTCTGAGCCTTTTCCATATGGTTTGCCCCGTGCTGGTGCCTCAAAGAATTTACCATTTACCACAACAAACAAGGGGAAACACAATAACTAAAAGTCCTATTTTAATTTGCTTCCTTGCAATTGGCAGAGAAAAAGGTGGTCCCTAAACCAGACAGGGAATGCTGTATAGTACTGGCTTTTCACTGGAAAAGATCCTGATGAAGAATAGAAAGATTGAGGGCAGAAGAAGGGGGCGACAGAGGCTGTGATGGCTGGATGGCATCACCGACTCGTGGGCATAAATTTGAGCAAGCTCTGGGAGGCAGTGAAGGACAAGGACGCCTGGTGTGCTGCAGAGTCGGATATGACTTAGTGACTGAACACACACTGGCTTTTCAGCACATGTCAAAAGAAAAAGGTCTCATTAAATTTGTTTCCACTTCCAAATAAATCCTGAGGCGGGAGGGAATGGGATGGAGAATATATGAAACCTAACAGAGACGCTGCAGAGGAGAAGAAAACCCCGGTTTAGTGTTTCTTCCCTCTTCTCCAGAGTTCTTTCCCTGGTATCTGACCTAGTGCTAGGTGCTAACCTATCCT